AAGCTGGTCGGGTGACCGCCGGTCACGCTCAGGCCGTCCCGACGCCACAGGAGGGGAGACCGATCGTCTCGGAGCCGCAGTCGGAGCTGCAATGGCAGCTGCTCCAGTACAGCCAGCTGCCTCGGTGCCGCAGTCGGAGCTGCCAATGGCAGCCGCTCCAGCGTAGCCAGCTGCCTCGGAGCCGCAGTCGGAGCTGCCAATGGCAGCCGCTCCAGCGCAGTCAGCCGCCTCGGTGCTGCAGTCGGAGCTGCCAATAGCGGCCGCTCCAGCGCAGCCAGCTGCCTTGGAGCCGCAGTCGGAGCTGCCAATGGCAGCCGCTCCAGCGCAGTCAGCCGCCCCGGAGCCGCGGTCGGAGCTGCCAGTAGCGGCCGCTCCAGCGCAGCCAGCTGCCTCGGTGCCGCAGTAGGCTCACATGGCCGGTCAGTTTCCACGTCAGCACACGTGTTGCCGTGAGCTGAGGGCATCGGCCGGTGCAGCTCGACCTGATTGCAGAATGGGTGTAAAAAACAGTCCCATTTCGCCGTCTCCCCCATTCTTCCCTCGTCGCGGCCGCGGGATGAGGAAGGGTCCGTGCTGCTGCCACATTCTGTCGCGGCTGTGGAACGTGAGTGGGGTACGCTGCCCTCTGATGCGCGGAAACCTGCGGCTGCTGCCCAGAGCTCTGTTTAAGGGTGTAGCGTGGCTTCAGTCTGTTGTGGTGCACCAGTACATTTCCCATCCCTCAAACGGATCCGGTAGTTAAGGTCACCGCGTATCGATACCACAACCGCAGGCTTCCAGGGGCAGACATGATACTCGTCCCTCCTTGCTCCTTCTGAAAAAGAAACACTTTCGTTCGTACAATTCCTTGTTTCGAGCACGACACGCGTCTGACATGCAAAGCGCTTCCCGGCACGCGCCTCGCAACCCCGCGCAGAACTCATCAATGTTCGAGAAAACAGATAGAGATTTCGGGACGCGGGGCTGTTGACCTCGTAGTCCGATCGGCAAACGAGCGTTTCCGACCGAATATCAAGAAAAACGGGACTGTACCCAACGACCTATTGAACCTGAGAACGGTAGCCCAGCATGAGAAGGGGAACATGCTTATCCACACTCTGAATGGTTCTCAGAGAGGTACTTTACGAACATTTCAAGGATCGTCCTATTCATTCGCTCACAGCAGCTGTTCCCTTGTGGATGAGAACCAGTTGTGTTCGCCTTTTTGACGCCTATTAGACGGCAGACCTCGGCGATCAGCGAGTTCTGAATGAGCCGCACAATCGGAATGGCGATTTTTAGCGCGCCGAACACGAGAAAACAGTGCTCTCGTAAGCACGGTGGCCAGTGACCGCCGTCATGTCTGGCGAGGGGAACACCTCTTCCCAGCGCGTGAAGAACATACCAGCAGGTGCTTGCTGTAGTTGCTTATGACGGGCAGATCAGTCAAAAAATCGATTGGAACCGTTTCCCAGAGCTCAGAGGCGTCGAGCTCTCCGATCGATGTGTGCGCCGCGGAGCGTGAGAGTTATGACCGCGGCACTTGTCACATCCCTGGCAAAACTGCTGCACCTCATCGGCCGCCGAGGGTCACTAAAAACGGAGTCGCACCTGAACCAGCATTTTCTCGGCTCCGAAATGTCCACCGCACGGCGCAGCATGCACGGAGGCCAACACACCGGGGACGAGACTGTCGGGAACCACGACCTGCAGCCGCTCGGGGTCGTTTGGATGACGCTGGTACGCACGGAACAACACTCCCTCCAGCGAGCGAAGCCACGGCCACTGACTGACCAAGCCACACCGGCACTCCGGGAGGCGCGTTGTGCCTCAGCCGTGCCATGCCCGTAGCTACGCCACGTGTGCTCTCTGCGATGGCCTCATTTCCATGCTGACCAGTCTGGATGTAGCTCAAAGGCCAGTCCTGAGCCGAAACGTGTCGACATCTAGCCTCTGAGCCAGTCTGACGAGCTACATCGTTCGTCTCTGCGGGCCGTCTACTCAGCCCATCAGCAGCCGTGTTCTGAGCACCGGGCCGAAACACAGTGTCAAATTGAAAGCTACCAAGAATCTCCAGCCATCTGTCCAGCATCCCAGGAGGGGTCTGAAAATTCACAAGTCATTGAAGACTTTATGATCAGTCCGAAGCCTGAAGCATTTCCCACGTTAGTAGTGCGCGCACTGTCGCACACATGCGAGAAGTTCCTTTTTTGTCACAGACTATTTTTTCTGAGCCCTGGATAACCGCTGGCTACCATACGCAATCACACGGTTCTTTTCATCCTCCTCCTGCATCAGGACTGCACCAATGCTGTCGTTGTTCGCATCGCGGTCCAAGGTCAAGACACCTGCCTCTGGACAAAATTTCGAAAACCCCACCACCGGCGCCTCTGAGAGCGATTTTTCAGACTCAAACCGCGTGAGACGCCCTGCGGCTTCACAGACAAGATACGTCCTTCCGGGTCAGACTGACAGTGGAGCAGCAATTTCTGCACAGTTATGCACATACTTCCGGAAATAAAAAGCTAAACCCCAAAAGTTGGACAGTTTCTTGACCATCTGTGGCTCTGACTGGTGCCGAACTTTCTTCATCTGTTCTGGGTCGATAACCATCCCATCTCGGATACAGCATGACCCAAAAACTCTACCTGCTCTCGAAAGAGCCGACGCTTGGTAAGTTCAAAGTCAGAGCCGCCGCCCGAGCGCGCGACAGCACTGCGTTCAGCTCCGAGAGTGCCTCTGAAAGCGTTGAATCGTGCACGATATCTTCGAAGAGGAAGTTGACAAAGGTTGACAAAGTTGACAATCCAAAACAAACTCTGGTGTAACGGAGGTTGCCAAAGGGGGCCTCCAGTGTAGCGGAGATTGCCGAAGGGGGCCATAATCGTAGTTTTATTGCGGTCTGCAGGGTATATTGAAATTTGATGGTAAGTGGAATTCATATATAGCACGGAAAACAAGGACGAGCCGCCAATGCCTCTAAATAATCATTAGTTCTGGGTATCGGGTAAGCGGGGAGGCGAGTGACTGAGCTGACTTTGCGCAAATCAGCGCACATTTTGTACTCCCTATTCTTTTTCTTCATCAAACAAATGGGCGAAGACCAGCCACCGCCGGCCTCCTCCAAAGCGCCCTGTTTCATAAGGTCATTAAGCTGGACCCGACCGGCCTCTTTCAGGCGGAACGGGATCCATCGAGGACTCTGTCCCACAGACGGATGATCGCCCGCAACAATTGCATGAAAGATCGAAGTCGTGTGACCAATGTGACCGTCAAACATACTCTCGTGTCTGCGCAGAGCAGAAAGCACCGTCTGGCGCTAGCCGCAGTCAAAGAGAATCCACTCAGGTCTACCATACTCTCAATATCTACCGAGGCAGGCTTGCTCGCAGGGTCTGGCAATGCATGTTCCACGAAACTCACCCCTGACTCTGCCATGTGGGAATGTTCGGGAATATTGATGAGTTCTGTAGGGGCATTCCTGAATACTGCCGGTGTTGAAGAGCCAGACACACTAGCAATTGATCGGACGACCTCGATTCCGGGTCACTCGAGGGACGGCTCCACCGTGGCCGAACCATGATAAGCACGGTTGTGAATAAATCCCACAGCTAAAGTCTCTGATCCGGACGCCAACAAAAAACCTCTGCCCAGGACAATGCGACCTGCAGATGTCACCTCAGCTGGACACGGCACGAACACACGCGCTTGGGGCTAGTGCCAAAAGTTTACGGAACAGGTCGAAAACGCACGGCACCGCCTGTAGGAGATCCAGCCCGAGCAAACACGGCACATCTGTGGAATCAGACACATACAGAGACACTTGTGTTTGACCGCCCCACGTGGAGCGGCACAGTGACTTCCGCCCAACAACGGCAAGCGGATCGAGAGTCGCCGTCCTGGCACGTATGGACGTCTGGTGCAACTTAACATGCGGCACTGCATCCTGAACAAAATTGTGCAACGCACTTATCGTGGAGCCGGTGTCCAACAACAGCGGCACGATGTCTCAGATAATCAGCAGAGAAGATCCAGTTATCGCTAAGAGGAACACCGCCAGATATCGGAGAGCGGGCCCAACGGCCTTCCGGTGAGGCGGGCTCACCCGCCGCATCAGGAGGCTGCATGCCTGCCGACCCTCTCGTCATTGTACACTCGGCCGTTCGGACCTCGTCCCGCACGGTGGGTGTGGCACAGGATCCTCTCGTACGTTTTCCTCGCACAGCCACGTTATCGCGCCGACGACGTATGTCTCCCTCTGATCACATCGGAAACAGACGCTGCGCCGGTGACGACAGTTGGCAACCAGTGTGGCAAGCCTGCCACATCCGAAGCAGGCGCGCTCCGGAGAGATCCCTCTCCCCTCCCTCCAGCACGTCGCTAAGACGTTTCGTCGACAGCCGCATCACGCGCAGGGTCATTGGGCTTCAGTCGAGTAGGACCAGACACAACACACCGCTTCAGTTGGTCCAACACGGGCCATGATTTGGTCAAGCATGGACGGCTCGACCGAAGCCACCTGACGCACGTCACTTGAGCGGATTTGTTCAGCCCGCAATACGTTGCGGGCCCCGCCAACGGCGTCTGCAAACGTGGTCACGCCTTCCGATTCAATGTTCACCTGGTTGTCTTCTGGCGAAGTGGCCAGGAAGCAGCTGAAGAGTACAATATCACTGTCACTGCCCGGAAAAGTCTCGTAAACGAGCTTCCGAAATCGAATCAGAAAACATCCAAAGATTTCTGTGGATCAAATCAGAGCTCTCGGAGCCCGCCATGGACGTTCACAGCACTAGGTCTGGCGAAAAAATCGCGGAGACCGGACATGGCCTGGCTGTACGAAGTCCGCAGGGCTGGATACATGGAATCGTACGCGTCCCGGGCCGCTCCCGTGGGACAAAGTGGCAGGAAGCGCAGGTGGATGCCATCAAATGTGTGAAGGGAGAAGAAAGTGGCCAGATCAGACACAAATCTGGCAGACGAAACGTGCCCAGAAAGTTTAGGGGCGGCCACCGAAAGCTGACCAACTGGAGCAGCCACATGAGGTACGGTCGGGATCTGTTCGCCCTTCATATACGGCTGCTCCTTCTGGCCAGTCATGGTGCGCACCTACGTAGATACGTAAATCTACTCCTGCCAGGCGATGACAGACAAAAAGAAATCGCATCAAATTAAACAAACGCTACTAAGCTACTTCACTTTCAATGCGGGAGGATGAGCAACAGGACAGTAGCGGACGACCCGGCGCAGCGGTGATTCGAGCAGACACCCAAGCGCAGCAGTGTCCGATGATGATCCAATGCATCACCACCGGTCGCGATTCAACGCAGGAGCACCGGCAGACGAGCTGGAGCAGCCGAGCTGGCAGACGGTCAGCGCAGCAGAGCCGGCAGACGAGCCGGCGTAGCAGCGCCGGCATCGCTCCAGCGCCACAGCGCCAGCACCAGCAGGCGATCCAGCGGGGCAGCGTCAGTAGGCGTCGTAACGTGGCGGCGCGACCAGCGAAATCAGTAGCGGATTGGTAGAACCTGCAGACAACTAGTAACGCCAGCAAACGACTGGCTGGCCATCCTTGCGCAGAGGTCTGGCAGGTGATGAGAGTAACGACGGGTGACTGTCATATAAAACTTACCGCCCTCACCTCAACCAGTGGCGTGAAGAACCGCTGCCACCAAAGGTTGACGTGGCCAATCACACCCTAACTCAAAGTGCCATTACGTTAGAGCCGTGCTCCGCCCGCGCTGGCCGCCCAAATCACAGCCTCCGTTCGCTCCGCCGCTCGTCCACTCGGCGCCACGACCCAGCGGTACCCGCGGGCACGAGCCGGCTAGCCACCCGCGGCACATAGGCGGCCGGCTGTTTATGGCAACGCACCAGGCCGTGGCCGCCCGCCCACGCTACACTTCTATTACAGATGGCGTGGGTGTTTCGGTAGATGTCGCTGTGGGCCTAGGTCACCACCTTGGGCCTTCTGAGCAGGCCGAAGGTAACTGAAGGCACGCCAATGGTTAGGTGATATGAACACTGACCACGTTCCGTGTGATCATTCCAAACAGTCTCCTCACTGAACAGGAACTTGTGGCATCCACAAACATTTGTCTATTGATGCCACATGCCGCTAGGGCCCTGTTTCAAGCCGCGTGTGGCGGACCGCTGGCCTGCCGAGATGACGCATTGCGGCCTGCAGAGGGATGACGTCATCAGTGTTTCCACTATCCTGGTCACCTGTGGTACTCACATTCCGATTACCGTTGCGAGCGATGGAATTTTCTATTAGGGGCTGCACTAGCGTAAAGTACCGGAGACCATCACGAAATCTGGTATTTGGTCGAAGTGAACTACGTCTAAACCACAAGTGTCGTTTTGCGCGTTGTTTGTTGATTGCGAGCGTATGTTGCCAGGCTTCAGTCAGCGAATATGTATACAGGCTGGCGAGGCACACATACACATACACATATACACACATATACACACATATACACAGGCTTTCGGTAACTATATCTTAGCAGAATGTTTTCCTTGATACATGTGCGGTGAAAAAAGACTGCTGATTCGGCGTGGACAAACTTTTGGATGCATCGTTCAAGTTCCGGGCTTTCGACTTGATTGACATTTATAATCGCAACAGAAATATCTCCAACTTTCTTATGAGAAACAGCCATGACAAACGCGACAACCTTAAATTCACCGATGTGGTATATCAATTCAAATGCAATCTCGAAGGCTGCTAACTTGTTTCATATACTGGATTGGCATAGCCAAGACGCTTACGCCGTCTGGCATGCACTTACGCGACGGGCATCTCCGGAGCACATGCGAAGACAACATGACAGGACATTAACACGATAACTGACGGGCAACACTGACATCTTCCGACGGGGCAATGATAGACGACGCCTTCCAATGTGGGAAGTATATTCATCAACGAATTCTCTCCAGCCACAAATAAGCAAAACAAAAGTTGGCACGACCCCCGAGGTATTAGTTAGAATGTACAGTATATATATATATATATATATATATATATATATATATATAGATATATATATATTATATGTAATATTAACGCTGCCTTTCATGATACATCATGATAATACATATAATATTGACGATACATCTATATATATATATCTATATTCTATATCTATATCTATATCTATATCTATATCTATATCTATATATGTATATATATATATATATATATCTCTCTCGCTCTCTCGCCTCTCTCTCCCTCATCCCTCTTCTCCTCTCTTCCCTCTCTCTCCTCTCCTCATCCTCTCTCCTCCTCTCTCATCTCCTCCTCTCTCGCTCCCCTCTCTCTCTCCTCTCTGCTCGCCTCTCTCTCTCTCCTCTTCTCTCTCCCTTCCCCTCTCTTCCTGTATACAAATATGACGCTTAGATGCTGATACGGCTTTCGGTAACGATTAGCCACCGCTACTCGTTATATAGGTGGTGCGGCAACTCGCGTATGTATACTCGTATGTAACTCGCAACAGCTATGCAAAACAGACCACCGATATCGAACTCATTTCCTGTCGGTCTGGCTGCATTTGGAAGCACAAACACACAACGTATAAAAGAACGTCAATAAGGGTTGGCTGGGAAGCTACACGAAACTGCGGCGTAAGCAGTCGGTTTCCTGTATGCTTCCTGTACCGCAGAACTCAGTCTTACTGACACTCACTGCATGGTCTCATGTAGCATGAAAGGTTCTGTTGTTTTCTATTAAGAAGGCGGATTTGTCCACCGTGGCCGTTTATTTTACTTCCATTCCATGTAACGACACGACTGCCTCCTCCACGTAAAGCACGGGCCAGAAGACGAGCGGCGCTGGCCGTGCGCCAGCCGCTCGCCGGAGGTCGGCGAACCATGCCATGCTCTGGCCGGACACCCCAACGCACGCGCTCCCGCCGGCCGGCACGAGCACCACGCACCCTCTGATGATATGAGAACAGGCGCGCGCACAGACAGCCAGACATGCAGCTGCTCTCAGGCCCAGCCGGTGCGGGTCACCAGCGCGCAGACTCGTAAACAACATTCTTAACGACTCATAACCTATGTGACGGCTTTGGCTTCTCGCTTCGCCAGCTGCCCACAACTCTAGGTACTTCAACATCAGACAGCGTCATAGTCCAGCAAGCAGCGTAAAATAAGAGAACAGCGGCTCCGCCCTTGTTAATCAAAATGTTCTCACGCCTGAATCGTCAACATGTACTAACCACAAGAAACTGATTCCGTGGACTGGTCAACAAAGAACTAGCGCAACAACGGGAGAGGAGCCCCGGCGCCGCAGTCCCAAAAGCTCATACCATCTGCACGGAATCAAAGCTGCCTGAAACAAAACTGCAGCGAAAACGAGACACCGCGGCTGACCCGGCGGTGCTGCCGTCACCCTTGGCCAGGCCAGCAGCCGGAGCTGCGCCGCTCCAGCGAGCCGCCGTGGGCGGTCCCACCGGCCGACACGGACCGCGCGCCCGGAGCCGTGGCGACCTGCGCGGACGCGCCTCGACTAGATGTATCACGAGCGGCGCCGGCGGCGGACACTGGCGGCGGCCGTCCGTGTCCGTCCCAACCGCTGTCCGGCGGCCGCTCAGGCGCGCTCCTCGTGGAGGATCGTCCGCTCCTTGTAGTAGATCTCCTCCGACTCCTTGTCGCAGAGCAGCAGGATGACGCCGCCGAAGAGGAAGATGGCCGCGCCCCAGCCCACGCCGTAGCCCCAGCCGAACTCCCAGACAGTGCGGTTACCTGCGGTCAGCGACGGCGCACGGTGTCAGCAGGGACATACAGGCGCGTGACGTCAGGACAGGTCCATGATGCCAGGTCAGGTCCGTCCGTGACGTCAGGACAGGTCCGTGATGCCAGGTCAGGTCCGTCCGTGGCGTCAGGACAGGTCCGTCCGTAGCGTCAGGACAGGTATGTGGCGTCAGACAGGTCCGTTGAGACAGGACTGGTCCGTAATGTCAGGACAGGTCCGTGGTGTCAGGACAGGTCCGTTGAGACAGGACCGGTCCGTAATGTCAGGACAGGTCTGTGGCGTCAGGACAGGTCCGTGATGCCAGGTCAGGTCCGTCCGTGATGTCAGGAACAGGTCTGTGGCGTCAGACAGGTCCGTTGAATCAGGACCGGTCCGTAATGTTAGGACAGGTCCGTGGTGTCAGGACAGGCGGTGGCGTCGGACAGGTCCGTTGAGTCAGGACCGGTCCGTAATGTCAGGACAGGCCCGTGGTGTCAGGACAGGCTCGTGGCGCCAGGACATGCCGTGGCGTCGGACAGGTCCGTGGCGTCGGACAGGTCCGCTGAGTCAAGACCGATCCGTAACGTCAGGACAGATCCGTGGCGTCAGGACAGGCTCATGGTGTCAGGACAGGCCGTGGCGTCGGACAGGTCCGTTGAGTCAGGACAGGTCCATGGTGTCAGGAGAGATCCGTGGCGTCAGGACAGGCCGTGGCGTCAGGGCAGGTCCATGAATTCCCACTAAAGCCATGTGTGCATCATGATCGATACAAGGACGGCAAGGCCCACGTAGAGTCACGTGGAACGGAGAACAGAAATCAGTGGCCAGAATCGCCAACAGATGCGCATAACCGACTGAAGTGTTGGTCAACGACGAGAACAAAACCCGGTCATTTTTAACACCGCCTCGTCTCGGTTTGTAAATAATGAAAGGTTTACTGCATTTTGGGTTCTTGTATTGGAAATAATCGACCTGAACATATCAGGAATGAGTGTTAAAAAGGTCGAGCAATCACTGAAACACATAATGACGATACTTAACGCTTCCAGCAGTGCACATGCCAAAGAAAGATGTAAGACAGCGCCCGATTCAGGCTAGGTAAACGAGCGTCACTAGGGGCAGTTCCACGGACGCTTTCTGCAAAACAGTGCACTCAAAAATCAATGCTTAGTTTTGCCACTATTGTTTAGTGAGAGCAGCATGCCGTTTACGACACATCGTGACACAACTGTCTTCACAAAGTTCAAGCACGAGCCCTTTACATCCGAGGTTCCAAGCCAGCATTCCGAGCTATCTATGCACGCGCAGCTGGCCTTCGTTAGATCACTAATAAAGCAAAACCATGCGAGTCACAGTGACGTTGATACGAAGGTAAGCGTGTGGGTCGCCAGACTTAGCGGTTTGTCAGCACAGGGACACAACCACCATTCGTTTTTTCGGGCAGATGTCCCACCACGCCCGTGAGGTCATAAACAAATAACATGAGCGACAGTGTCATCAACATAGCGCCAGCTAATGTGGTTGTTTGGGAAGCCAGACCGGTGAGAGAAACCATGTCCCTTTGTCGGAGGCTGACGCTTTCAGGTAAGCAACACAGCCATCCCGAACAAATACGTCTGCATGGACGCTGGACAAATAGACAGGGAGGCACTCACAATGTCAACAATCACATCAGCATATCGAAGGGGCAATCGGAGCACCTTTGCGAGCAACCACAATCACCACGACTAGAAGGAACTCATTGATTTGTAAACTAACAAGAAACTAACAGGGATGCGGACCCGCGAATGCACAGCAAACTAACGAGGAGGTAAACATCATCGAGTAGGTTAAAGAAGAGGCAGGTACGTAATCACATGTAGCTACATAATCACTTTGCCAACTCCTGTTGCTAAGTGGTTACGGACCACATAAAGCGGTAAACAGTATCAAAGCAAAAGCAAAACAAACTTAATGACTCGCACCACGCAGATGAAGTGCTTGTGTGCGGACACAGGCTTTTATCCACAATAGCACTGTAGCCGTCTACAGCTCGTCACGATGAGCAACAAAAAAAAAAATACAGCCCAGAACAAGACATACGTAAACACAAGGTCGAAAAATAGACACCTCATTTTGGGATCATAACTGCCGAGTCCCTTCCAACGTTACACTACAATTGGGGTCACTGTGCATTTTGTACGACGCGAACTGTAACCTGATCTTTCGGGTGTTACGACATTAACGCTACGGCATAAACACATCTCGGCAATAGCGTTACATCAGTTATACATGACATTTCTTCCACTGCAAAAACTTTGCACTTGAGATTGTACTTGTGCGCGACATTACTTCTACCGCAAGAACGTATGCGCGACATGAGTGCTGCACGACAAAATGTGTGGAAAAAATTATGCCCGTCATCAACAATTCAGCAAAGACTCACAAAATCACAACTTTTACGCCACATTACTTATGCAAAAAATCCTACACGACGTGAGTGCTGCACGACAAAACTTACACTGCATTAACCTATACCAGACATTAATCCTACAACAAAGACTTATACAGTCTTATCTTATACGCACATTTCTTCAGATGCAACGAGTACGAGCCATCAAAAGGTGTAGGTGACATCAGCGTTACACAGCAAAATTTAGAAAGTAATAAAAATTGATACAAAGTCAATGCCCGTCATTATGTCTACCGTAAAAACCTAAACGCCTTTAAATGTCAGCGATCTTACTTCTTCGGCCAATACTTATACGTGATATTTGTGCAATAAGATACATGGTACAGTCTACAACTTACAACCGGAGGTCCCCCATCCTTTAAGTTTAAGGCAATGCTCCACATTTGAATGCTTTTGACCAAACTTCTAGACGGAACGAACACATGAGGGCACATGACTGGGCGAAATCGCAAAACTGGTGCCCGCTCCACGACGTCGGCACGTTTTTGCTGCTGCGAACATCGCGATAAACAGACCTACGACGGCAGTAGTTCCACGCGACCCTTTTCGACTGAAAAAGGTTTGGTACACTAAGGGTCTTGGGCGCGCTGTCGTAGTGCTGCAAAACAAGTTTGGGGGCTAAGCTGGGAAAAGCGTCCGAATCTGCTCCAAAATACATGAAACACGGCGTTTGCCCCGAATGTGACACACCATCCTATCACAGATGAGGGGCAGGTGGGGTCACCGACAGGATACGGAACTACCCTCCTAGCTTCGGGTTCAACGAAACGCGACATTACTTTTACTTAAAAAGCTATACCCGTCATTGAGATTTTACCACCAAAACTACAGCCGTTGCTCACACGCCAAGCATAACAAACGGGTAAAATCATGTAGCATTATAGGTAACAAACTTTTCGTACCAGCATCAGAGCACTAAATTGTGGTATTGCACAATTGGAAGTTCCCTCCTAACCTGTGAACTGTTCCTAAACCCACGCTAGGTGTCCACACGTTCTGCGCTCCATTGAAAGCATCGACAGTAGAAGTAATGTTGCGTAGAGGTAAAGACTGTACCAGTTTTTACATTAGTCATGAACATTCTACATCTCTTAGCATAAGTGTTGTGTGGTACAAATGTCGCGCATAAGTTTTTGCGCGAGAAGTTATGCCGTGTGCAAGCAACGGCTGTATAGGTTTTTGCAGAAGAAATAATGAAGGGTATAACTTTTTAAATTATAAGTTGCGTCGTGTTGCGCTAATGCCGCACATCGTTGTTTGCAGTGGAAGTTAAGTCGTGCACAAACCATGTCTGCATATGCTTTTGTTGTACGCATAATCACTGGCAACCAAAAATGAGTATAAATTTGATCGCGTAGCACTAATGTCGCGTGTAAGCTTTTGCAGTACAAGCAAACAAAGTTGTGTGTAAGTGATGCCCGTGTATGTTTTTGCAATAGAAATAACGACCAGTAGACATTTTGAAGCATAAGTTTTGTCGTGTGGCACGTATGTCGCGTATAAGTTTTTGCAACAAAGGACTGACAGGTATAAATTTTTGCGGTGTAAGTTTTGTTACGTACCACTTATGCCGTGTATAAGTATTGGCAGTAGTAGTCATGTCGCAACACTCCTGTCGGCGGTAGTTTTTGTTGTGGCACTAATGTCGTGGAACCGATCTTTCGGCCATGATCGTACCGCGCTCAAAGACACGCAGACTTTTTACACCTTACTAAGTGGACAATGCTGCAGGTCGGACAGACCCAGCCAAACTACCACGCCAGGTGCCTCGAGCACAACATCGTCACGATCACCGGACTGCCGCACCGGCCGTAGACAGACGCAGTCAGCCAGACGGACAGCATACAGTCACGAATACCGGACAGTCGCACTGGCGTCAGACAGACAGTCGGCGGTGAGACGCGAACATGGTCACAACGGCACGCCGAACCGACGGAGAGCGAGGCACGCACGCACGGTCACAACGGCACGCCGAAACGACGGAGAGGGAGGCACGCACACAGACACACACGCGCGCACGCACACGCACACGCACACTCACGCACACACGCACACGCACACGCACACGCACACGCACAGCCAGCGGGCAGCGCGCGCTGACCCGCAGACCGGTCCCAGTCGCACCCCCAGGCCGGAGCGGAGAGGCCGCGCCTGCGGACCGCAGCCTCGGTCCCCCAGCCGGTCCGCCGCTGAGCAGCCCTGGTGCCAACTGGACCGGACACCGGCTGCACATCTACGGCGACGATGCCAGACCGACTCCAGCAGAACACACATCAGCTGGCCGTGGGGCGCTGGGGCAAAACAGTTCCGACAAGCGGGGCCCTCGGAACGGCCGCCCCAGAAGAGGATAGCGGGACGGAAGCGCGTCATGCAGAGGGGGCCGGGACGGCACACTACCTGCGTCCGGGGCACCCTGGCGGTAATCTGGGAAGGAGAAGATGCTCAGACCAACGCACCGCGAGACCTGCACCGGCTCATGGGGGTGCCGTGTACTCAGAAGAGGAACACCACAAAAGGGTAGGGTGTGTGTCGACCAATCAGGGACAGGAGGTAGCTTCATGGGAAAGGTCGCCCGTCTACGGTTCGGCTGTACGGGAGGGGAAAGGGGAGGGGCAGTACGGATTAAGAAGAGTGAGAAAGGTGGAATGGGAAGAGACTGGCCTCATGTCAGCGTGTCCAGTGCCTCCCAAACCTGACAAACGAGTGAGCAGAAACACTTAGCGCTGAGCGGCTGTGGTCCAGTATGAGCTGAACATCGCAGACAGTCAACTTCCTATGCCTTTCTACCTTCCTCTAGCTAATTGTCGATGGAGGTAGACAGTAACTTCGAAGCAGGGCTGGAGATGCAAGGAAACTACGTTCATAGACACCGAGGTAAACTGCGAGGGCTTCGTGTGCCCTCTTAATTATATCACAAGAATAGGTGCCGATAAAGGACCAACTTACTACAACAGGTAAGCAGTTTGCGTGACATATTACCATCTAGCTTCTGCGCTCCTTGCTGCAGAAGATAGATGTTTCAAAAAATAAATTCGTTAATTCCTAGCACAGAGCAAAACATTTCTCGCCAGTACTATCCTGTCCCCTGGACTTGGATCGTATGCAAACCGAAGAAATGTTCCATACGTCGACGAGAATGCACAATAAACACGCCCGGGGAACCGCACTGAGGGAGCGCTAACTCGGCACGGCCCAGCCCGGGGGACCGCTCTGAGGAGGCGCTAAATCGACACGGCCCAGCCAGCTGAGCTGTAATTGTACGGCTATCACGAGACATGGTGTACCGCAGCTAGCTGGTGGGCACGCAGAAGAGTCCGCTGGCGCCTAGCCCGCCCCCGGACATGCGGCAGCTCCGCCCCATACTCACTCTCCTCCAGCTCCTGGGCGAAGCAGACCGGGTACACCACCAGCGCGATCAGGATCGAGATGACTGTGGACGGGGACACAGGAGGTCAGTGTGGGCCCGGGCCGGCAGCCAGGGGACATGCGGCCGGCGCTGGCACACACCGGTGGTCACGGGACACACGGGCCGCGTGGCTCCAGGTCAGCGGGCGGCGCAGACACACACCACCGGTCACGGGACACACGGGCCGCGTGGCTCCAGGTCAGAGGGCGGCGCAGGCACACACCACCGGTCACGGGACACACGGGCCGCGGGGCTCCAGGTCAGCGGGCGGCGCAGACACACACCACCGGTCACGGAACACACGGGCCGCGTGGCTCCAGGTCAGAGGGCGGCGCAGACACACACCACCGGTCACGGAACACACGGTCCGCGTGGCTCCAGGTCAGAGGGCGGCGCTGGCACACACCGGTGGTCACGGGACACACGGGCCGCGTGGCTCCAGGTCAGCGGCCGGCGCAGACACACACCACCGGTCACGGGACACACGGGCCGCGTGGCTCCAGGTCAGCGGCCGGCGCAGACACACACCACCGGTCACGGGACACACGGGCCGCGTGGCTCCAGGTCAGCGGGCGGCGCAGGCCGTCACCTTGTGGTGAGCAGGATCTAGATCCCCATCCACCCATACCCACAGTTATAGGCACATCCACACTCACACTCATACTCACACTAATACTAATACTCCTACTCATACACCCACTCACGCTCACGCCACACTACCTCCAACCCCAACAAAACAACGTTATCAAATATATGGAGTTCTGGGACGAGTCCTCTGGGCTGCATATTTGCATTCCCGAGGTCCCAAGGCCATCAAATTTTGGAGAGAAAAAACTTTATGCACCCAAATAAAGTGCGTCGCGACATGAAACTCAACTTATATCCCGTGGGTTCGAATTGCGCCACAGTCTGTTTTTGTTAACTACTGCTACAACAGGCGTGACAAATCGCGGAACTCACAATGAAAAAGATCCAAGCAGCGTGCAATGGTCAATATTATGGAATGAACTGTGGCAGGACCTGTGCTACCTATTCTTATCTGCATGGACTTGATAAAAAGCCTCGCAGGTGGTGCCATTATTCTTAATTGCCCCAGTCCCGCTCGTTCGCAATCGGTCCCCGTGTGAGTGGGGGTGGGAGCTGGGCCCTGTTTAGGTGAGGTGAGAGCTGACGCCGCCGCCTAGCCGACCTTGTGAGTGGGGGTGGGAGCTGGGCCCTGTTTAGGTGAGATGAGAGCTGACACCGCCGCCTAGCCGACCATGTGAGTGGGGTGAGAGCTGGGCCCTGTTTAGGTGAGGAGGGAGCTGACGCCGCCACCTAGCCGGCCGTGTGAGTGGGGGTGAGAGCTGGGCCCTGTTTAGGTGAGGAGGGAGCTGACGCCGCCACCTAGCCGGCCGTGTGAGTGGGGGGTGAGAGCTGGGCCCTGTTTAGGTGAGGTGGGAGCTGACGCTGACGCCGCCGCCTAGCCGGCCGTGCAGCCCTGATGGGCCTGTCGGCGCCGCCCCTCGACCCTGTCGGCGCAGCGCCATCTCGCGAGACTCACTCGAGTCTCAGCTCTGGATCACCTGTTCGACCGAGCCAGCGACACCGGAGCGCGCGAGGGACAGACGGCAGCCCGGACCCGAGCGTGCACACGTGTGAACTGCGCGGACGGCGCGCCATCTGCGTGGGACACGCTCAGCTGGGGAACACCGGTGCTAATCGCAGTCCGTCGTCCGGTCAGGACCGCTTGGGGGTCACCGCTGCAATCTGGTCAGCTGGCTCGGACCCCAGCAGCACTGATCGGATGAATGAGATCAAACTGTGCGCGAACGTAGGCCAACCAACGCCGGTCAATGGCTTTTCTCTCTCCAAATGTACACCTGATCCACGATAGGCGTGCATCGTACGGTGCTGGGTTACTTTCCTATGCATTCCTCAAACAACAACAAAAAATATTCGTCGCTTGGCTAGTTCTAAATGGATCTAAATCAGAACGCAAGGGAATAGCTGGCTATGTAAAAATATATATAACACAAATCCTTGGGATATTGACTGATTCCTGCAGTCATCACAATGAAACGATATAAAATATTACCGAGCAATGGCAACAAGGCAGGAGCCGAAAAAGAAAAAGATGTGAAACCACTTCGGACCCATCATAAAACATCGAACCGTCGAGCTTTTAACTCATCTGCGGACATGCGAAAAGAATCCCGGCAGAAACCGAGACATTTTCTTCATCCCGGTTCGACAGCCTAGAACGGCCGACCAAGAGCACCGGCTGGCTTAGAGCAGAGCCGGATCAGAGAGGCGTGCGCTTGTCGGATCACTGGGCGCGCGGCCCGCCCGGCGGGGAGCGAGCCCGCCGCCCGCCCGGGCGGGAGCGGGTCCGCCGCCCGTCCGGGCGGGAACGAGACCGCCGCCGGCCTGGGCGGGAGCGAGACCGCCGCCGGCCCGGGCGGGAGCGAGCCCGCCGCCGGCCCGGGCGGGAGCGAGCCCGCCGCCGGCCTGGGCGGGAGCGAGCCCGCCGCCGGCCCGGGCGGGAGCGAGCCCGCCGCCCGCCCGGGCGGGAGCGGGTCCGCCGCCCGTCCGGGCGGGAACGAGACCGCCGCCGGCCTGGGCGGGAGCGAGACCGCCGCCAGCCCGGGCGGGAGCGAGCCCGCCGCCGGCCCGGGCGGGAGCGAGTCCGCCGCCGGCCTGGGCGGGAGCAAGCCCGCCGCCGGCCCGGGCGGGAGCGAGACCACCGCCGGCCCGGGCGGGAGCGAGCCCGCCGCCGGCCCGGGCGGGAGCGAGCCCGCCGCCGGCCTGGGCGGGAGCGAGCCCGCCGCCGGCCCGGGCGGGAGCGAGACCGCCGCCGGCCCGGGCGGGAGCGGGCCTGCCGCCGGCCCGGGCGGGAGCGAGACCGCCGCCGGCCCGGGCGGGAGCGAGCCCGCCGCCGGCCTGGGCGGGAGCGGGCCCGCCGCCGGCCTGGGCGGGCGCGAGCCCGCCGCCGGCCTGGGCGCTCGCCTTGTCCCTGGCACTGCGGACTGCAGGGGCGGACCCGCCGGGCCGGCCCGACAGCTGCCACCGGCGCCGAGGCCGGACGGCGGCGCGTCAGTCGCTTCCTTAGCTGTCCGTCTGCCCTCCTACCGGCTGCTGGGCTATTTAGAGACGGGGGCGCGGCGGCGTGCCTCCAGCGCCAAACTGACACGCGCCTTATGCGAGATCGAGCATCGAACTCGTCCCGGGAGCCGAGCTCCTCCCGGGCGCCGAGCTCCTCCCGGGAGCCGAGCTCCTCCCGGGCGCCGAGCTCCTCCCGGGCCGAGCTCCTCCCGGGCGCCGAGCTCCTCCCGGGAGCCGAGCTCCTCCCGGGCGCCGGCCCGGCACCTGAGCGGTTCATTTAGTTATTCATTTATTCGAACTGCCGGTGTATCCACACGTAATGACCTGGCAATTAGCGCGCCCGTCGCTGCAAGAGATGGCAAATGAACACCAGTGAATCTGGGAAGAGGATTGGAGGGATGAGCTCGCCCGGTAAACGCAGGGACACACGGTGGAAGGATGGTGAGGTGGTAGAGTGGCAGGGTGGTGATGTGGTGGGATGGTAGGGAGTGAAGTAGGAGCACAGCAGTGAAGGAACAGCTGAGTATGTATTCTACTGTTTGGAGTAGGCAGCTATGAAAACACGACATCCAACATACAACTAGACGGGAAGTAGAGTAAATTAAAGGCATAGGGAGACGTAACAAGTCAAAAGCGCAGACGTCAGCACATAAATAAGCGCAAAAAGCCAATTCACAAGATGATGGTCGCCATCGCCTCTCTCTCAATCTTCGCTATCAGACTCAGGGCAGACCACAGACAGCCTCCACTGCCCCTAAGACAAAAGTGACGGGCTGAACACGGGCGGCTTTCAGAATACCGCCCGATACCGCCGCTGCTCATCCAGTCTTCCGGGCGAACTCCCTCAGGCCTATCAGCATCGTAGGAAACAGTCCAAATCATCGATCGCCTGTCGGTATCCTTATGCCCGCGATTTACGTCATGGTGCTTCGAAAAATACCCTCGCATGACGTGCAGATAGCATGTCATTTAAATGCAACTCACAATGAATATCTGCATGACTACCAACCACATGCAACCCAATGCACATGGACTTGAGCTATGAAATGGGCTGCTCGACTTAAACTACCAGCAACCCATTGATTTTCATCCATTTCTTTCCGTTTAAAACCGATTCCGCAAAACGATCAGGCAACATACTCCTGACAAAGGTCTACAGAAGGTAATTGTACGGTTATCACGAGACATGGTGTACCGCAGCTAGCATTGGTCTGCTCCATCCAATATGTGACAGAAGAGGTTCATGGTTTACAGATTTGAAACAGTGCTGTCGCCGTGAATCTATATCTGGGGACAAACTGGTGCTATAGTTGGCCAAACCGATTGAAACATCGCTAGTGTTAGTCAGGTTTGGTTCCAAAAGATAAAACCAAATACAAACGATCGGTGCTTCTTTAAGCCGTCGCCACCAGGACTACGTAAGGCCATGACCATGGCCATGACCATGAGTGACCTCTGAACCCCATAAATCAGACGCTCACTCAAAGCTACGTTCTCAAAAAAGGCAGGCTTAAGTTGTAACTGACTTAGTTAAACTGACGCCTAACTACACAGACATCACACAGACAGACAGACAGACAGACAGACAGACAGACAGACAGACAGACAGACAGACAGACACCTAACTAAACAGACGTCCCACCAACGCACTCCTAAAACGCATCCCATTCGCAGCAAACACGTCAACGGCTTCCATTGATCCGGTCGTCCGACACCAACGGTCCACCAGCAGGAGACTCGTGCCCCACCCCGCCCCGCCGGGGTCGGCAGACGGGCGGCCCCAGCAGAGGGCGTGATCCCCACCCTGCCCCGCCGGGGTCGGCAGACGGGCGGCCCCAGCAGAGGGCGTGATCCCCACCCCGCCCCGCCGGGGTCGGCAGACGGGCGGCCCCAGTAGAGGACGTGATCCCCACCCCGCCCCGCCAGGGTCGGCAGACGGGCGGCCCCAGCGGAGGACGTGAACCCCACCCCGCCCCGCCAGGGTCGGCCGACGGGCGGCCCCAGCGGAGGACGTGACCCCCACCCCGCCCCGCCAGGGTCGGTCGACCTGCGGAAGACGCCGCCCACACTCACGGGCGACGATCATGACGTAGACGGCGGCCCGGTAGAAGCGGTACTTCTTGTTGGTGTCTTTGCTCCGGAGGCCGAGCCCAGCCATGAGCGTGGCGAACGCGTCCAGCAGCGTGCAGCAGATGGCCAGTGCTTCTGACACGATGATGTAAGCTGCGGCAGGAGGTCAGGTCAGCTCCCTCGTCGATACGACATTCCCTACAGTGTGGCGCTGGGTCGGGTCAGGTCAGCTCTCAAACAGACGTGCTGTGCACTGCACGCAGAGGTCGGGCCAGTCCAGGTCTGGCTAATCACACACGTCAGAAAGTGCGCTGCGATGGAGGATTGGGTCATGTCCTCTGCCAGCCCAAACCAGCTCACCACACTACAACACACGAGAAGGCTGGGTGTAGGCAGCCTGCATTTGACGCGATGACGTGGATCGCGGGTCGGATGAGCGCGGGCTCCTGACACCTCCGAGCATGATGGAGCACGCAAACTCAACTGCACTCAGGACCAACAGTGCAGACAGTATTTGGTCTCATGCAGGACAACGCACAGTGGAATAAGCAGATGGTCAGCCGTTCAGGTCGGCCTTTCATGCCCCCTCAAAAACGACCACAAATACGCACGACGCGCTGTACAAGGTTCAAGTAGCTGAACTGAGGCAACCTCGCTGATCCTCTCCATTTCGTGAATTACGCACATGCAGGTCACGGGTTACAAGGTTCGTGAGCTCCAGAGGCGAATTGCATTGCGGGGACGCAACCGAGATGCATTTATTCTGGTTCTCAGGTCTGATCCCAGCCAACGCTGCTGCAAACACACCTGTGTTATTTGGCGACCTTTACATTCCCATCCACACGACCCACTTCCGCCCACGGCTGACGCGCCGTCCGACAGCCCCTGTTGTTCCAGCCGGAGACACCAGCGTGCTCGGACGCCCAGCAGCGAACGGTGGGCGGCCGCTGGGGGCGTACCACAGCCTGCTGACGTCATGGACCACCTGCCTCCGGCGAGGAAGGAGTGGGAACACCCGCCGACGCTCGGTGCTCAGCTTTCCAAGTCTCACTACTGCTCGGCAGGGCGATGGAGATTACAGAGATCATGCAGAAGCCCCGGATCAAGGAAGTTCGTGGAATCGTCCCACAACCGCCCAGAGTCGCCAGAGTCGTCGCCATCCCAAAATCGCATCGGAACAGACTGTTTAGAGCCGTTCGGAGAGCACCGAGGAAGAATCCAGAGATCATTGCTGAATACTTCACAGATACCTACAATAGTCATCCAGGGGCCCACAAAAGCCTAATTCAAGCTTTCCAGACAATGATAGCAAGAGCGCGAAAGAGGGAAACCAAGAGCATGAACAAGAGGCAGGCGAGAAGCAGAGAGCAGAGAGAGAGCAGAGAGAGGAGAGAGAGAGAGAGAGAGAGAAGAGAGAGAGAGAGAGAGAGAGAGAGAGAGAGAGAGAGAGAGAGAGAGAGAGAGAGAAGAGAGAGAGAGAGAGAGAGAGAGAGAGAGAGAGAGAGAGAGAGAGAGAGAAGAGA